ATGTTGAATGATGTACAACAAAAGATATAGCCAACATGTTGGTTGACATAACAAAAGACATGACCACCATGTTGGATGATATAACAAAAGACATGGTCACCATGTTGGATGATGTAACAAAAGACATGGCCACCATGTTGGATGATGTAACAAAAGACATGACCACCATGTTGGATGATATAACAAAAGACATGGCCACCATGTTGGATGACATAACAAAAGACATGGCCACCATGTTGAATGATGTACAACAAAAGATATAGCCAACATGTTGGTTGACATAACAAAAGACATGACCACCATGTTAAATGATATAACAAAAGACATGGCCACCATGATTGATGATATAACAAAAGACATGGCCACCATGTTGGTTGACATAACAAAAGACATGGCCACCATGTTGGATGATGTAAGAAAAGACATGACCACCATGTTGGATGAACTAACAAAAGACATGGTCACCATGTTGGATGATATAACAAAAGACATGATCAACATGTTGGTTGACATAACAAAAGACATGACCACCATGTTGGATGATGTAACAAAAGACATGACCACCATGTTGGATGATGTAACAAAAGACATGACCACCATGTTGGATGATGTAACAAAAGACATGGCCACCATGTTGGATGATATAAGAAAAGACATGGCCACCATGTTGGATGATGTAACAAAAGACATGGCCACCATGTTGGATGATATGACAAAAGACATGACCACCATGTTGGATGATATAAGAAAAGACATGGCCACCATGTTGGATGACGTAACAAAAGACATGGCCACCATGTTGAATGATATAACAAAAGACATGACCACCATGTTGGATGAACTAACAAAAGACATAGCCACCATAATTGATGATATAACAAAAGACATGGCCGCCATCACGGATATTATAACAGAGTTAAAAGAGACTTACTAATATGAGAAATAATTCAACCAACCAGAGTTAAAAGAGACTTGTGAGAAATCATTTGACCAACATGGCGGCTAAAATATCCATCACTTTTGTCATTGATTGCAGACACGTAAGTATTTTTTCCTGTTCATTTCTTCATTTACGTCACCAGATGATTGACAGCTGTCGAGAAACGCTGTTATGTCTCTCTTCCTCCGACTACAATCACTTCGATGATTCATATCACAAGAATATGAAGAGAAAATACAATCCTTGTGGTTTGGGTACTGAATCTCAATCAACTCCGACTCAACTTCCACTGGTTCTGGTTTAATACGAATGAGGGCAGGACATGGTGGAGGACAACCAGGTGGACATGATGGAGGACAGGTTGAAGCAACCAAATTGTCTTCCAATTCACCAACATTTTTCCCAGGAAAATGGGCTGCATAACTTGTATTCTGAAGCTCTAAGCTGCTGGTTCTAGCATTTCTTTTCATGTATGCTTTAACATGGAGCCTTTGTTGCTGCATCGTACAATCACCATCAGGTTTTTCAGTCTTCACTTTTGTGGAAGAAACATAAGCAGAGGATAAAGAGGCATCAGTTTGTGAAATTGACACGTTGTTACCATGGTGATACTGTTGTTGACGTCGTTGGGAGGGTACTGCTACATGTAGTCTCTTCAAGTGGTCATCAATGGTGCTGAATTGCCAGGACCATTGGATATTGTAAAGAAAGGGGCGATGGTCAAAACGATTGTCATCCGGGGAGTAAGCTTCTGCGTGGTAACCAGGTGTCAATGTTGTCATCTTGTGGCGGTTGATGGAATAGTAACGAAAGAACAGCTTCACTTTTTCAGCGACTTGTACGGGGCTGTACTTGTCTTTCCAGATGTGTACCAGCTTACAGAACATGCTGTAAGGTCCACAGCGCATGAAGCTTCGATAACGGCCGAAGACCGAGAGTTCTTTGTATGTCATTCCCATATCCTCCTTCAAACACAAGGAATTTCTTCATGAATAACATAGGAAGACTCATTGGCTAACGAGAGACATCCTCTCAAGCCAATCAGGGTGGAATTTATAATGAGCTATGGGACTTCCATATGAAGAACTGACTCATTAATGGTTTTCTCTTTCGCCCAATCAAAAACCAAGAAAGCACAAGTCAGCCAATCATGTGTAAGATTAGTTTTGGACCAATTGAGAGCTAAGTGTATCAAGACACAGTGATGCTATCAGACGTTTAGATGCATGACAAAAATCAAGAATCTCCAGGCTGAAAATTGACTAATTAAGCACTCCATATACATGAATATATATGAACTACTTTAACCTGGCAAATGTAGCAGGCTAGAACTTATATGAAGAATTACTACAGATTAGAAACCTTACCACCTACCTCGTCAGTTTGTCGTATCTGTCCTTCTACCAGAGGTTCTAGCTCGGCTGTGGGGGGTGCCCCAAGGATAGTTATCAGGGAGTTTAAATTAAACTTCTCTACGCAGTAGAATATGAATGATCGTAGGTCTGTCTTGCTTATTCCTCCAATAGGATTGATGTCGGCACTGGAACAGTCATACTTTGTGAAGTAACCTCTTAAGCTAACAGCGAAACAGAGTAGTTATTTGTTAGCTTGATTGCTTTTCTTCCACTCCTTTTTCTCTTTTGTGATTTTTTCTTTTCCTTTCTTTTTCTCTTTCCTCTTTTCTTTTCCTTTTTTCTTCTCTTTCTCTTTCTTCCCTTCCTATCCCTTTTTGTTCCTCCTTTTCATTTTTTCGTCCTCTTTTCCTTTCCTCTCCTTTCTTTTTCTCTTTTGTTCTCTTTTGCTTCTTTTTCTCAAATTTTCGTTTCAATTCACATATCATTCCTAGGCTGAATCTTGCGCACAGTCACACAGTTACGAGCTATTGATAGTGATACTGTGACCTTGCGACGCCATGTCTACACCCCAGTTTTGAGTTCTCCCCTGTTTCAAGCTCTCAGGGTTAGCCTCGATTTTAAGTAGAATATTCATGCGTTCCAGTGAAGATCCGTGGAATTTCAAAGTGTAGGTGTCGTTGAAGTTGTGCATTATTTACTTTACTGTTGGTATTTATGAATATTCTGATGCCAAAATGAGGCTAGCCCTGAGTAACTGGGCCCGTAATCAAGGAAGACACCAGTATCATACATATTTTAAAATGGTCTATTCTATCATTAAAGCAGCTTTTGCATGACCATGAAAAACTTGCAGAGTGGTGTGACATTCTGTGACATGCAGTGACTGTGATGGTGTCGTGAGAGCATTTTGATTGGATGACCATTGATATTGCATGCTGTGATTGGTGCGATGGATGATGTTAATTCCACACCATGCCTGAGACAAAACATTTTCACAGACATATTAAATCTGCTTGAAAGTAAGCTTACCTCTCATCCACATTTGCAGATCCCAGTACCAGTAAACTACCCTGCAAACCACGTGACCACATGATAAGCTGTGCAAACAGATACGCTAAGACCATCCGTAATCTGGCCTGGACATTCTGTAGTGCCAGGTTCTCTTGGTTCGAACCTCCGTTGACCTTAAATTTTGGGATTTTCGAGGTAATAAGAGTGAAGACAGCAAGAACGGCAGTTACTACAGAATCTATGTTGATGTCTAAAAATTAATAAGAAAGAATAATGGGAGTAGTGGAATGTTATTCTTAAAAAAAATTGAAAAATATAAAAATATGAGTAAATTTATCAAAAACAAATTATTACAAAGTTGCTTGGACCTTGTTCCCAAGAATGCTACAGGTCGTCCTACATACCCAAGTGATAGCTGCCAATCTCCTGGGCTAGGTTACATGCTCTCTTCTTTGTCTCTGCTGAGGAATTCTCTGTTCCCATGTAACAGGTTACGAATATTCTGTTGGCAAACTCTTTAGGATCTGTCGGGGTGTAATTGCTGAAAGGAAATACGGTGGAAAATATGACTCACTACATACTGCTTGTTTTCCCAAATAGTTATTTCAAAAAAGGTTGAATGGGTGCACAGCGATAGGTAATAAAGTGATAGGCAATAACTGATAGATCATTTCAAGATGCAAGAATAGTTTGAATGACTTGTGTTTCTGCTTCTTATTCTCCTCAAKAACACAGTTGTTGTTTTTAAGATATTTAGTGTTCACAGAGTCGACAAAACCTTTTAAAATGCTTTTATTATTTGTGTTAAGATGCATGCCCACTGCGCCTTTCGGTCGTGCAATCACCAATCACTGATCGCCATTTGCTGTGTGCTCCTTCAATGTTTTTTGAAATAGCTGTATATTCATTCATTTATTCAAAGGTTCATTCAACTATCATTTATTCATTTATTCATTCATTTATCAATTCATTTATACATTCAAAAATTCATTCATTTGATCCTATTATTTTGTATTTCATTTATCTCTTCTCTTTCTTGCCCATTCATTTATTCAATCATTCACTCATTAACTCACTTTTCAGTTCTTCATTAGGTCAATCATTGATGGGTGTATAAATCAATTAATTTATTCATTTACTTCATTGCCAATCAACTCACTTGTTATGTTCATTCCTATGTTCATTTTATTCAGTTTCCTATCCATCCATCCCTCTCTCCTATCCTTCCATTCTCCCTCCACTCATTCATCCATCCATCCATCCATCCATCCAGCACGGTACCTCTTACTCACCTATCACGAACAATCCTCTGTGCTTCTTCCAACGTTTTCTTGTCGCCATTTTTTATGGCTTCACAAACCAAATGACACATCGATGCAACAATACAAGACGTGGATGAACTATCAATACCTGCAAAAACCATACAGATAACTTTATTACATTATCATGATTATTAATAATATATATTAAAGATAGTTTATCAATACAAGCTGTGGTATGACATAGTGTAACACTGAAGTGGTTTCCCATTGGTTATTCCATGAGTGGGAAACATACGATACCGACATACAGCAAGCACATGGTATGACATGCTTTACAGCCTCGAAGGTTGACCATTATATGTAGTTTTGACCGCTTTACGAGATTATGAAACCTTTATTTTAATGCAATGATGACGTAGATGAAAACCAAGAATAATGAACATATTAATACTCTAGTTTTCTATTCTTGGTTGCCTGGGTTTATTCTTGATCTTGGTCTACCTGTAACTACTGTGACCCACAGGTAGCCCAATGCACTACTTTAACATTAACAAATACATAAAAGGCATTAGTACCTCCACTTAAAGGCAAGAAAAAGCCAGCTTGTCCACTTCTCCTCAGATAGTCCCATAACCAACAGGCAGGACCAAGGCTGATCTCTTCTTCAGCAGTGTGGTAATGGAATTGGATTGGTTGAGAGGTTGGGATAGCAAGATTGTCATCCTTAGTTACACAGAATTCTGTCTTGATGCGTGGAAAGCTTGGCGTCAATGATTCCGCTGCTTTGCCATACGTAGGAGAAGAGGAACGATAAGTGCGCACATCTTCTAAATCTAATGTTGCTGTCACAACTTCAACTTCTTGTAATGAGAACTGTGTTCCTTGTGCAACAACTTCACCATTGATTACTATCATGGAACAACCATCATAGTATACTCTCTCGGCATCACAGCCACGCAAATTAGAATACATGTAGATACCACCACTCTAGAAAGTGATATGATAACTATACTTTAGTAATTTAGAGTCCATGGTTTACAGAACTACTGTAGGAACACTAGATCTAAAATGCTTATCTCCAGTTTCTGCAAAAAATTGACTATTCTCTACTTTCACATCCTCATAATGCCTTGCGTCTTGGTGGGGTAACCGATCAAAAAACTGTCCCAAATTGAAAAGTTTCTTAATTGATTTTATACAAAACCTGCTTTTATCTGTACAATACTGATTATCAGTTTATTCCAAGTTATTTTTGCACGTACAGATCATCAAGAGTTTTGGTTTTACAGAAAATGTATTGGCTTATGAAAAAATGTTTAAAATTTACCTTAAAAACATCTTCAAGCTTCTATCTTTTTCCGTTTTTTACTTCTTAATTTTATTTTTGGATACCAAACAAGGTATTGTCAACATTGTCTAATCAGCCTTCAGCAAAATAAGTGGGTTTTTACCCTCTGGTTACCCCCCAAAGACACAAAGGATTATGGGGATGTGAAAGTAGAGAATAAGATGTAGCCACTTTCAGCCTAAACCAAGCCAAACTGCATTTTATCAGACCCTGAAACTGTTTACCTTTGGGCTGATTACAGTCAGGACATAAATTGAATTGGAATTCTGTGGGTTTGGTTTGCAGAAGGAGATTTACATGTAATACGAGGTCTTGCATATGATATATATATACCAAGGGTGGTGTACCTTACGGTAATAACCTTGATTATTTGAATGGGGTTCTGGTGAATGATAGGTACCTGGCATGGCCCTTGGCATGTCGGTGGAAAGTTAAATGGACACCTAAGAACACAAACAGGGAAGCTGGACAAGGCAAGGCAGCTTTTTGAATAAAAGAAAAAGCTTCCTAATTATTTTCAGTCATTAATTTTTCAATCCAGGAACTGAAAATTAACTGCTTAAAAAAAGAGTGCAAATAAAATGAATCTGAATCTAAATTCAGGCTGTAATTTCAATCGTGGAAACACTGCTGACCAAGATCTTTGCTGGACACCCAGATCCTAAAACATGGTTTTCTAATGGGCGACCTCTTTTAAAAGTACTTTTTGCCCTCCCCCCACCCCCCAAGGTTAAAATTCTTGATATCAAGGCCTCAAGTTGCCATGTGACCTCCTCTTTATTTAACAATGTACGACCTTACCATACCTTAAATGTCGCACTTGTTGCAAGTTTCACTCTCTTGTTCAGCTTCCGTAATTCATGGTAACTGCCACTACCATTGGTTATAATCTCCACTCCATCCATTGCCATGGCAACATGGTTACTATGAACACTGAACAACTCCTCGCACACCTCACTTCCAATGCATGTGTCTGGTGTTGAGATTACCCCATCGCCAAAGGGGACAGTAGTCTGTCCTGTTATTTCTGAGATTATTTTGGGTACTTTGAACTCTTCAATCACTCTTTGCTATAGCAAAATAAGAAAAAAACCTTAAATATGCTAAGATATAGGATGAAGTAAACCACAACATTTGTTTCCAAAAGAAGTTGTTTATTTGTTAATTTGTGAATTCTTAAATCCACCATGAATGCTAAAAAACCTCATTTATTTTTATTTTAAAAATGGAAAACGTTTTCAGTTTTACTACCAGGAAATTCTTTGTGCTTTTGCAACAAGGCCATTTCAATTGTGTGAATTATAGGGCTGTCAACTCTCCCGGATAAACCGGGAGTCTCCAGATTTTGGACCGTATCTCCCAGTCTCCAGATTAGAGTCTCAAATCTCCCGGTTAATCGCTGAAGCTGACCATTTCTTGTGAGGCTCTACTTTCACAACCATAAAATTCCAATTATTTTGTGTTGTTTGTGTTATTTTACATCGCTAACAAAATCAAGACATTCCTCACAAACTGTTGTTGCAAGCAGGCCATTGTAATATAAGCAATAATCTGATTGGTCAGAAATAAACCAATCAAATGTTACAAAGCGAATGACATCTTTTCGCGCGCTTTTTGACGCGCTGTGACGTCTTTCCCTTCCCTATCAATTCTCCAGATTTGAATATCTCGGGGGTTGACAGCCCTGGAATTAATTAAAGATTAATCACAAGCAATTAATAATGAATAATATTTATACCTTTGTCCATGGAGTAAACCATCTACCTTCTCTGTAATTCCCATCATTACACAGCGTCATTTTAGGCCTTATGAGTAATATCTGTCCATCGAGGAATATAACTCTACAATTATATCGTACATTCTTATGCAGTAAAGGTATCCCAACATCACAAATGATCCCTCGAGTCAAGGGAGACTTTAGTAGGTAGGCAAGACCTTGAAGAGAATGCATCAGTGTATCGCTCTCGTAGAAGTGATCTGCACAGCCATAACCACAGATTTCAAGCTCTGGGCCTAGTCTGTAGGAAGCACCTCGATCTTTAGATATTTGAATACTTTCAAGTATCCTTCTAACATTTCCTTCGAAGTCTAAGGCCCATTGGTTGAGAGAACATGTAGCAAGGGTAACTCTTCCACGCATCATGAAATCAAAACATCAAAAACAAAATCGCTTTCTAAAATACAACGAAGTGGTCACTTCTAATAAATACCAAGAAATGTCCTCTAGATATAAAGAATTTGATGATATAATCAGCTTTTGAAGATAGAAAAGCTGTTTCTTACAGTACTTGGCCGCTCAAAATACCCGGAAAAAACTTACGAGCCCGCACGGATTATTGTCAGCTGAAAGATTAGTACTATTCCTCCTCGGACAATTTCAACGGGAACAGTAACGCCTGGTTAATTTGTGTTATTTGGGACGTGGCCATCCATTTCACGGTTCCCGTTACTCAGCCTCGTCAGCGTGTAATTATTCTTTAAAATTTGACTACAGTCCGCAGTAATGAAAGGAATTTACACATCAACGAACAAGTGAAACACTTAAAAATTTCACAGGTTGTAGGTAATTTCTAAAGAATATATTACACGCTGACGAGGCTGAGGTTGAGTAACGGGATCCGTGAAATGGTCTATTTAATATTAAATATTAATATTAATTTTTATAAAAGCGCATAATCATATAATCTAAATGCTTTTTACAATAGTATTATTAATATATTAATGGGAAAAAATAGATATATATACATGAGAAATGCACTAGAATAAATAAACATTTCAACTGATTTATTAACTCTCCCGGGGGGAGGGGGGGGGGGTACTCTTGCCCATTTAGGGTAGGGATGTGCCGATTGAGCCCTCTGAACCCTGACCCTGCTCCAGAGTAAAATCGCTGACAACCATACCCTGTTCCAGAGTAAATATCGTAAAGGTAATCTGATTTACTGAATGATGATTTATTGTATATAAGAAAATTTTAAGTTTAGCAGATTTTTAAAATTCAACGTTTGTTTACTGAGTTATTTTTTTTTAAATAAACAAACTTTTATTGCATAAAAAGGGTTTTGATGTTGTCATAGCAACGTCTTACGTCATTATTTCTTGTTAATAGTGATCTTTGCTTCATTGGTCTTTGGCTTTGAGTAATTCAATAGTGAGAAACAAATTAGAAAAGATATCAAATTACACAATAGAACAAGGTCTCGATTAAAGGGGATTGGAAAGGATTTGCCATTTTCCCGAAGGAATCCCGCATCATGATTACATTCTGGTACTGAAAGCAAACTTTTAGTGTACACGTGCCCCCCGTGCCATTACCCTCCCTTCGCTAGTGCAATAAAATGAAGCTAACAAAGACAATGTTTGCGGGACATACAGAAGAAACCAATGATCCTTCGTGATGTGAGTGTCATGTATTGAACAATAATGCAGCACTTTTGCTTCAAACAAGGTATATAAACCTCTAAAGAACAGAAGAAATCTTTATTAGCACATTCGATATACAATGAAAAAACGTTTACATTCTACGTTTATATTCCACAAAGTTGGCCCATAATTTTTTTTAAAGATCGAGTTCGTGTCAACCAAGATCTAAAAGATCGCATACCAAGACGCCATTTGTGAAGATCTTTTTGTTATAAGTTTTTTTTTTTTTTTTTTTTTTGGAACATGTGACGAAAGTAGTGATGAAACAAAAAACTTTTTCTAGTATACCGATATTCTTACGTCGTTTACAGAAGGGCCCTTTAAATTAAATGAAAAGACATAAATGAAATATATGAATATATGAAAATATATGGAAAATATATAAATATATCAATTATGAGCAACACACAAAATATATAATCAATAATACTGGTTGTTCTGACCAATCGCGACAATGAATTCATTTCTAATTAACTGTCGCATGTGATTGGTCAGAATATACGATGTTTAACATTCCTGAGACATATTTTAGGTGTTCAGAGTATTCTAAGTTTGACTGTAATTCTCTTTGGAATGATTGATAACCAGCAATGACATAAGTAATAATTCTAAACTTAAATTATACTAGCTAAACGTACGAAGCAAAAACTACCCGTTAAAGTGTAACAGCCAAATACACACACACAAAAGAAAATAATGCAAATAACATCTACCAACAAGTCTAATAACTATTTCACGTTTTTACCTCTGTTTTCATAGCGATTCGAGACAGGGAAATCGAATATTAATTTCATTTAACACGTAGCCTCTTACTGAAACCTTTGTGTGTGACAAGCGAAGCATGATATCTCGGAATGGGCTATTGTCTCGATGCCCGCGGCAGACCAGTGCTGTACAATAGGACACAGTGTCCCCTTCAAGGTACAGTGCACACATTTCCAAACCCTTTAAAATCCCATCCCTATCCCACAATCAATCCTTTAAGAAACCATCAGAGGGCCATACAGCAAGGGTGGACAACGCCAGAGTTTCGTAATACTTTGCTTGCTGGGGGTAACCGGTCCAAAAGAGTGTCATAAAATTAAACATTCTTATCTGTAAAATATTCATTATCTGTCCATCGAGTTATTTTCCTACGTTAAGAACATCTTTAAATTTCAAAGCATAGGTTGACATTATCTGATCATTTTTTAGGATAATATGTGCAGTGTTTCTCCCTGGTTACCCCAAACCGAAATGTTTTTTATGGGGATCGAATGTGAAAATGGTGAGTAGCCGACTCATAAAAGAGGCTAAGTCAGTGGTTAGAGTCTGTGGTCTTCACTAAAAAGGTACAGAGGCATGCATCGAATGCGAAACGAGTGTATTCAGTATAACGTATTGATCCACAAGTTTTCCTAGCTTCCTACCTGTTTTTCTTAAGTACATTTAATAGACTGCACGCCGTATATATTCGTGAAACAAAACCAGCTATTTTGATACTATTTTGTACAAAGTAGTGGATATTACTGGGGCAAAACATTGGGAACAAAAGGAAATAAAGCGTTTTCACGTAAAGTCACAGTGGCCATATTGGTGTTCCAAAAACAATGTATTTTCTATCCTCCGGGAATTGAACTCTATACTTATCATTGCAAAAACTGTTTTTCTATCGTTTGGTATACATCAATAGGACTGCCTTGTGACCTCTACGCGTATTCGTTCGGCATGGCGTGAGCAAATTCGATTGATAGCTAAATCAGTTGATCGTCACTAAATACCGAGTGCTAAATAGCTAGTTATTATTTCACGGATATATGACGTGCTCTCTGTTTCCATAACGGAAATTATTGCACGAACATATCTTGTGAGTTATTATTAATTTCACAATCAGGTTTACCAGCCTTCATTTTTGTGGAAGAAGAATAATCTATTTCTGGAAGGTACCCGTTGTTGCAATGGTTATACTGTTGTTGAGGTCGTTGGGCGGCAAGTGCGACTTGTTGTAGTTTCTTCAAGTGCTCATCAATGGCGCTGAATTGCCAGGACCATTGGATATTGTAGAGGAAAGGGCGATGGTCAAAACGATTGTCATCCGGGGAGTAAGCTTCTGCGTGGTAACAAGGCGTTAACGTTGTCATCTTGTGGCGGTTGATGGAATAGTAACGAAAGAACAGCTTCACTTTGTCAGCGACGTGTTCGGGGCTGTACTTGTCTTTCCAGATGTGTACAAGCTTACAGAACATGCTGTAAGGTCCACAACGCATGAAGCTGCGGTACCTAATGAAGACCGCGAGTTCTTCATGTGACATGCCCAGATCCTCCTTCAAACATAAAGGGTTTTTTTCATGAGTACTAATTTGTGACACACCGGCTCAAATGGCTTTAGACCAATCACAAAAACAAGAATGCGCATGCCAGCCAATTATGATTCCTGAACATAGATTTTGAATATTTGAGAGCTTTCAAGACTGGTCTCTTGGAGCAAACTGATTATGTCGTTCTCGCGGGATCCCTGTGTATTTCAACATTTTGGGTTACCTTTGTTATGCCAGTTTCAAAGCTAATCCAAGATGGTTGACACTATCAGGTGTTTTTAAAAATCGCCAAAATATCTGCAAGTTTTGATTCATCTTTTTCCACAATTTGAAGATTTAAATGGCGAAAGAATCATCAAAAAGAAGACTATATTGACTTACTAACGAGGTAAGCTAACCAAATATATATACAGAGTTGATGTCCACACGAGCGACAATTTTCAATATTTGGGGGATAGTTTGACGAGGAGTGATACCAGCTAGCAACTACACTTTTCTTTTGAATAGCTGCTTTAGTACCTACCTCATCATTTTGTTTTGTCCGTCCGTTTACCAGAGGTACTAGTTCAGCTGTTGGTGAAGCATTCAGGATATTTATCAAGGAGGTAAAATTAAACTTCTTCACGCAGTAGATTATGAAAAATCGTAAGTCGTTCTTGGTTATTCCTCCAATAGGATTGATGTCGGCACTGGAACAGTCGTACTTTGTCAAGTAACCTGTTAAGCTAGCAGTGGAAAAAAGTAGTTGTCGGTTAGTTTGCTTTTTGGTTTTATTCTGTCTCACACATACATCCTTTTTTTAACTCTTTCTTTTTCCTCTTCTCTTCTTACTCTCTCTTTTGTTCTACATCATACCAATAAGTGGTGTAAGATATAAATATAAAATGATAACAATAATAAATAATTAATTTAACTGAATAATAATTACAAATTGCAAATTTAGTGTCCGGTAAGTAGTAGGAGTTTATGGTTTTTTCATTACGTGGTACGGACACCAGAGAAAAACGCTTACGCATGCGTGCCCTTCAGCACGTTTTCTAAGAATTTTGAAGAGTTTGAGTGAGAAAATAAATGTTTGTTTTCTCCAAGTATACAAAAAAGTTCGAGAGTATACTTTTGTCAGACCAAGATACTGTATTAACAAACACAATTTGATAGAATTAGCCTTAAGTTTCAAGCATGGACACTAAGTTTTGACATTTTGTGAAGTCCAATTTATCAGGCATGTTTGAAAGTCAAATTTACTTATGTTTTGACTAATTTGCATACGGATTCAGAGCATGCGCAGACGTTTTTCACTCGTGCCGTGGTACGTACATATTCTACGGATGGCCATGACGTGCGTGACCATAACGGTGGCGTGACAAAGCATTCAGATAACCAGCGGTCTTCTGCAATGTGATTGGTTGGATGTTTGTCGTCATACCAGGATGATGATGCTGCGTGACACTTTACGAACGCCCGCATATTTAATTTACTCTATCTTCCAAGTAAGCTTACCTCTCATTCACATTTGTCGACCCTATAACCAGTAGACTACCTTCCAACTCACGTGACCACATGATAAGCTGCGCAAACAGATACGCTAAGACCATACGCAACCTGGCCTGGACGTTCTGTAGTGCCAGGTTCTCTCTGTCTGTACCTCCGTGGACTTTGAATTTTGGGATTTTCGAGGTGATAAGGGTGAAGACAGCAAGGACGGCAGTAACTATAGCATTTATGTTGATGTCTGAAAATGAATGAGAAAAAATCAGAGAAAGCATAAATACGCGCATCTGAAAACGCTATTTTGAATTTGCGCCATATAAATATGTATTATTAAATACGTGTCGTGAAACATCAAGGGTGGTGTAGTGGTAGTGCACGCGTCTTAAACTTTTGAAGTCTCAGGTTAGATTTCTGGACTCGGCATCACATGTTAAGAGAGTTTATTGAGTTCCTTCCTTGAAGCTGGGTGAGTGAAACACCATCACATATGTGTAGGGGTTTTTGTATCCCCTTTGGCTTGAGGATTTTACGCCCTCCGCAAAACCCAAAATGGCTAATTCCAATTTGATCCGTGAGTTAGCCGTGCCCTGAGTTATCTCAACCCAGAGGTTGTTTTAGGGTTTGATCTGTGAGTTAGCCGTGCCCTGAATTAGCTCAGCCCAGAAGTTCTTCCAAGGTTCGATCTGTGTTGTTATACTAGCCGTGCCCTGACTTAGATCAGCCCAGAGGTTGTTTCAAGGTTTCGATCTGTGAGTTAGCCGTGCCCTGAGTTAGAATAGCCCAGAGGTTGTTTCAGGTTTCGATATTAAGGTTTTTCTGTTTCACAACAAGTGAATACCATACCTAAATGGTAGCTGCCAACATCCTTGGCCAGATTACTTGCTCTGTTCTTTGTATCTGCTGAGGAATTCTCTGTTCCCATGTAACAGGTTACGAATATTCTGTTGGCAAACTCTTTAGGATCTGTCGGGGTGTAATTGCTGAAAGAAAATAGCGCAAAATATGACTTACTCAACATACTGCTCATTTATGCATACTTCAATGCACTCATTCGTTCATTCATTCAAAAATATCGTTCACTCAGGTTGGGTCCACACGTGTCCGGAAATTTTTGTATCCGTATCCGGAAATTTTCGAATACGCTCCGAATACGGATACGTGAGGACGGTCGTATCCGCACGTTTTCGAATACGCTGACGTAAACACGATTTTGCGCATGCTCAATAAGAGGAACTATCCATCAAAGGGACTAGGCATTAGCGTGCATCAGGGCGGATCAAGAAATTTCCGGATACGTGTGGACGGGGCCTCAATCCATTCTATAAACATTTTTGTTTCATTTATTCGCTTCTTTGATAAATCATTGATTCACGATTTCATTATTTAAATCCTTTATTATTCATTAATCTATTCATTCGTTTAATCCATGGCCCATTTAAAAAAATCAGTTACGGTATTCATTAATTCACAGTTTTAGCGCAGAACTGGTTACTCACCTATCATGCACAATCCTCCTTGCTTCCTCCAACGTTTTCTTGTCACCATTTTTTATGGCTTCACAAACCAAATGATACATTGATGCAACAATACAAGACGTGGATGAACTATCAATACCTGCAAAAACCATACAGATAACTTTATTACATTATTCATGATTATTAATAACATGTATTAAGTATTTATCAACAATAAAAGCTGCAAATGTCAAAGCATTACAATACTCCAATTTCAAATTATCTGTTGCTCAGAGTATTATCGAATATCTTCGTCTTTCCACTAAAAAAATATTTCAAAGGCATTAGTACCTCCACTTAAAGGCAAGAAAAAGCCAGCTTTTCCACTTCTCCTCAGATAGTCCCATAACCAACAGGCAGGACCAAGGCTGATTTCTTCTTCAATAGTGTGGTAATGGAATTGGATTGGTTGAGAGGTTGGGATAGCAAGATTGTCATCCTTGGTTACACAGAATTCTGTCTTGATGCGTGGAAAGCTTGGCGTCAATGATTCAGCCGCACTGCTATACGTAAGTGAAGAGGAACGATAGGTGCGCACGTCTTCTAAATCTAATGTCGCTGTCACAACTTCAACTTCTTGTAATGAGAACTGTTTTCCTTGTGCAACAACTTCACCATTGATTATTATCATCGGACAACCATCATAGTATACTCTCTCGGCATCACAGCCACGCAAATTAGAATACATGTAGATTCCACCTCCCTGAATGGAGAAAAATACGAGGTATACTACTGATTAGTAAGTTTTTAGTCCTTAAAAGAATTATTAGAGGACAAGGGCCAAATACTTACAGATCGTCCCCTCTGGGTAGCCTGTGTTCAGGCGGTATAATGTCCTCGAAATAACTGTCTGCGAGGAAATTATACCGGCTGAACGCAGACTACCTCTTGGTCGATCTAAGTCATGGTACGACCAGTGTGGATAATTTGCAGATTGAATTGGAATTAGGTAGTGATTTCGTTGAGTTGCGCCACTGCTGTAATTGTGATGGTAAACTGTAGAGATAAGTTTTTTTAGGTCACTTAACACGCAAGGCGAATTTCTTATTGCCTTTCCAATATGATTCATAAAAGAATACATTTTCTGAAACCTAAATAAACGTGGTTTTTGAAAATCAATTAAGAATTCACCTTTTCGGCGCTAGCCGTCAAGGGGTATAAATTGTTTTAGATTGTGTTATGGTCACCAAAAAGTTCGGGCATTGTTCTCGAATTTCCGTACAAATGTACTGACTCTAAATGAACTATTTACTTGGTTAATGTTTAGTTAGTTCTCTAAATACGAATAAATGATCATTTTTCTAGCTTGATTGAAGCTTTTCTTACTGCTGTTAAGATAGCTAACTAAAGGAATCTACCTAAATTTTCTCTTTGAAGTTAGTGAATTCGTATGGAAATCCGAGAACAATGTCCAAACTTTTTGGTAACACAATCAAAGCTAGCGCCGAAAAGGTGAATTATCAGTTTTGGGACAAAAACTAAAGATCACTGATTCATACATTATTCTACCTTAAGAGTCGCAGTTGTCGCTAGTTTCACTCTCTTGTTCAGCTTCCGTAATTCATGGTAACTACCACTACCATTGGTTATAATCTCCACTCCATCCATTGACATGGCAACATGTTTACAACTCCTCGCACACCTCGCTCCCAATGCATGTGTCTGGTGTGGAGATCACCCCATCGCCAAAGGGGACAGTAGTCTGTCCTGTTATATCTGAGATTATTTTGGGTACTTTGAACTCTTCAGTTGTTCTAACCTATAAAAAAAATTAGGAAACTTTAATTAAACACTAAAATAGTGGGGAACATCACGAATTTGTTTCTACAAAATATAACCAGATGATGTGAAATAGTGACGTAGAAAAGACGTCACTGCAAAACTGAGGTGTCATGAAGCCTGTGACGACACCAGGGGAAAACGTTTGCGCATGCGTGTCCTTCAGCACGTTTTCTAAGAATTTTGAAGAGTTTGAGTGAGAAAATAAATGTTTGTTTTCTCCAAGTATACAAAAATGTTCGAGAGTATACTTTTTTCAGATCAAGATACTGTATTAACAAACACAATATGAAAGAATTAGTCTTAAGTTTCAAGGATGGACACTAAGTTTTGGCATTTTGTGAAAAAGTCCAATTTATCAGTCATGTTTGAAAGTCAAATTTACTTATGTTTTAACTAATTTGCATACGGATTCAGAGCATGCGCAGACGTTTTTCACTCGTGTCGCCTGTGACTAAATGAGCAGCGAAAAATAAAAACCTGTCCACCATTGCAATAAAAATATTTAGTATAAATACACAGGTGATTATTGAAAATCTCGCGCGCTGATTGGTCGAGAAACTCACACTATCACACGATAATCACCTCCAGTGATAATCCAAAATGGCGGCCAGCCGCTTTGTTGCTGTTGCCAGGAAAAATGTGTCTTTTATCTTCTTTCTTCTCTTTTTTTGAAAGAATCACCTATGTATTTATACTAAAACAATTATTCACCTCATGCCCAGTGAATATCGGGAATAATAATCTCAACTTCGTTTCGTTAATGTTATCAACCTCTCATTAGCAACGTTATTTCATTTAGTTTAGTTTTCGTTTAATGGCCTGGAAATCAATAATTTCAAGAGCTAGGGAAAGTGACACCCTCAATTTTGCAAATTTTCTTGATTTTTATTGGCTAATATTTTCTTTCCGATCATCAGCCAAAAGGAAATTCCTAAAGAAAAATGTTCTATCCTTAATTTTAATTTTTGAATTCATCGTTAATGCTAAAAACCCTAATTTCATCAGAAAAAAACAAGCAAGCAAGAATAAGTTTATTTGGAAGGTTGGAATTGTTTATAATAACTTTATTTGCAAACAAATTATAATATAAAAAAAGTTGCAAAAAGGGTGCTGCCAGGGAAGAACTGAATCCTCATATACGGCAGCTATAAAAAAATGGTAAAAGTATTTCTTAATAGCTAGAATTTCCTTGTTCTTGCTACATTAGAAAAACACATTAAGAGTGTGCAAACTAATCAAAGATTTTTTAATCGATAACAATTAATAATGAATAATATTTATACCTTTGTCCATGGAGTAAACCATCTACCTTCTCTGTAATTCCCATCATTACATAACGTAGTTTTAGGCCTTATGAGTAATATCTGTCCATCGAGGAATATTACTCTACAATTATAACGTACGTTCTTATGCATTAAAGGCATCCCAACATCACAAATGATACCTCGAGTCAAGGGAGACTTAAGTAGCTGGGCAAGACCTTGAAGCGAATGCATCAGTGTATCGCTCTCGTAGAAGTGATCTGCACAGCCATAACCACAGATTTCAAGCTCTGGGCCTAGTCTGTAGGAAGCACCTTGATCTTTAGATATTTGAATACTTTCAAGTATCCTTCTAACATTTCCTTCGAAGTCTAAAGCCCATTGGTTGAGAGAACATGTAGCAAGTGTAACTCTTCCATGCATCATTATTACACCAGAGTCGAAGTCGGTAGCAAAAATGATGCCAGCAAAATCTCCTCTATGAATAAAGAAAGTGATATGAAATTATTTTTTTAAAGATGGAATAAATTTTGTTCAGTAATCTCGAGTTATTGTCCTCGTGGGATTAAGTTCTTTTCGCATTGTTTTCCCCCACCGTTTTTAAAAGGCTGCGTTCATGATGTATGGCAGAGGGGGGCAGGTGAAAATTTGAAATGTCCAGAATAATTCTTAA